GTGAGTGAATATTGTTTAATTCTGCTTTTAGCAATATTCTAGCAATATCACAGCGGAGGAGATCAGAACGGGTTTCACAAATTGGAACCATGTTGGGATTCAATCCTTCAACATTACAAGCAAATGCTTTATCTGGGCTATCCAACAGCATCTGCAAACTTTCAAATACTCAAGAACAAATTGAAATACTTTCAAGTGTGTGTGTGAGTAAGTATTGTTTTACCCCACTTTAAGCAATATTCCAGTAATATTCACCACAGTGGACACCAGATATGGGCTTCACATATTTGCCTATGGGGGGCAATTAACCCCAAGGGTGTAAATCGTTGCTCACAGATGTCAATCTCTGGACTGTCTGGTGACTATTATTTACAGGGAGCTGTCTGTGGCACTATTGCGGTCTGTTGTATCATACAATATACAAACAAACAAAAACATGACAACTTCTGAACCAGTATACAAAGATGACATCTCACTGTGACCAGCTGCTTTCCAAGGGAAATTTGGAGTCATAGGAGCTGTTGAAGAGGACGTGATTTGGACGCAATTAATGAGTAAGTATAGCATGTATATTGAAATATTAGAAACATATTGATTGTGTACTGGATTGTCTTGGCCAGATTTAATAGTTACTAGCTGTCATTACATGGCTGCAATAGCACCGAGTGTGTCAATGAAACAATACAGCAACCTGTACCTGAGCAACCTGGTTTGAACAATTATTTACGTATTGTCACTCAGCAATGCTTCATATTAATGTGCAATATTGCTGAGTTGTTGACAATACAATACTAATCTGTATGCCAAATTTGAATATTTACCGGCTCTGCAACATAATACAACAACAATGAAACAGCAAACATAACTTCTTATCATACCTGAATGAATGATATGGATTGATGGGCAAGTCCAGATTATTCACATCATATAGCTGCAACATTGCTGAGTAGCACTTAACATCAATGAATCTATGGATTTTGCCTGGGATTGTTGTTTATAAAACCTGGCACTGGTCCAACCTGCAACATTGCTGAGTGTGACAACTGACATTATTTAGTACATATATGTACAGACTGCCATCATCTACTTGCAATATTGCAGAGTATGGCATTAAAACAGGATGCTGATGTGAATTGTTGTTCATAATACCAATCACTGAATTGCAGACTGCAATCATATAGCTGCAACATTGCTGATTGTGGCATCAAAACACTGATACCAAACACTGTATTGTCTGGTCCTGTTCAGATTATTTTTAGACTGCCATATATAGCCGCAACATTGCTGTGTGGCATTAAACAACCATGACCTACCATGCACAACACCAATCACTGGATTGCTTTGTCCAACTTGCAACATTGCTGAGTGACATCCAATCATGTGGATTGTCTGGTGCAGTCCAGATTATTTGCAAACTGTCATCATAGAGCTGCAACATTGCTGATTTATGGCATCAAAAAGATGCTGATGTTTTTTCACAATGCCAAACACTGTATTGTCTGGTTCTGTTCAGATTATTTGCAGACTGCCATATATAGCCGCAACATTGCTGTGTAGTATTAAACAGATTGTCATGCACAACACCAATCACTGGATTGTTTTGTCCAACATGCAAACTGCCATAGAGCTGCAACATTGCAACACTATTTAGTTCTTATGAAATAATAAAAAAGAAAAAGACAATGAGTGTCAATTTCTACATTTTGAATATCTAATGCTACCATCTAGCTGCAATATAGCTGAATTTCATAAGAGCAGGATGCTGGTCCTGTCCACATTATTTGGAGACTGCCATCATATAGCTGCAATATGCTGAGTGACATAAAACAAAGATGCAAGAGGATGTGGATTGTAGTTAACAATACCAATCACTGGATTGTCTATATGCAGACTGCCTTCATATAGCTGCAACATTGCTGAGTGGCATCAAACAACGATGAATCGCCAAGACCTACCGTCGAGAGCTACCATGAAAAAAGATGTGGATTGTTAATCAACGATTGTCTGGTCCAATTTATATGCCGACTGCCATCATATAGCTGCAACATTGCTGAGTGTGGCATTATTTAGTTCTTATGAAATAATAAAGGTAGAGAAAACAATGTGTTGTGTCAATTTTGAATATTTATATGCTACCATCTAGCTGCAATATAGCTGAATTTCATAAGAACAGGATGCTGGTCCAATTTATATGCAGACTGCCATCATATAGCTGCAACATTGCTGAGTGTGGCATTATTTAGTTCTTATGAAATAATGAAGGTAGAGAAAACAATGTGTTGTGTAAAATTCTACATTTTGAATATCTATATGCTACCATCTAGCTGCAATATAGCTGAATTTCATAAGAACATCATATAGCTGCAACATTGCCGAGTGGCATGAAACAACGATGAATCGTCAAGACCTACCAAGCAAGAGGATGTGGATTGTTGTTAACAATACCAATCACTGGATTGTCTGGTCCAGTTTATATGCAGACTGCCTTCATATAGCTGCAACATTGCTGAGTGGCATCAAACAACGATGAATCGTCAAGACCTACCAAGCAAGAGGATGTGGATTGTTGTTAACAATACCAATCACTGGATTGTCTGGTCCAGTTTATATGCAGACTGCCTTCATATAGCTGCAACATTGCTGAGTGGCATTAAACAACGATGAATCGTCAAGACCTACCAAGCAAGAGGATGTGGATTGTTGTTAACAATACCAATCACTGGATTGTCTGGTCCAGTTTATATGCAGACTGCCTTCATATAGCTGCAACATTGCTGAGTGGCATTAAACAACGATGAATCGTCAAGACCTACCATGCAAGAGGATGTGGATTGTTGTTAACATTACCAATCACTGGATTGTCTGGTCCAATATAGCTGCAACATTGCTGAGGGTGGCATTATTTAGTTCTTATGAAATATAAAGGTAGAGAAAACAATGTGTTGTGTCAATTTCTACATTTTGAATATTTATATGCTACCATCTAGCTGCAATATCGCTGAATTATTTGGAGACTGCCATCATATAGCTGCAACATTGCTGAGTGGCATGAATCAACGATGAATCGTCAAGACCTACCATGCAAGAGGATGTGGATTGTTGTTAACAATACCAATCACTGGATTATCTGGTCCAGTTTATATACAGACAGCCTTCATATAGCTGCAACATTGCTGAGTGGCATGAATCAACGATGAATCGTCAAGACCTACCATGCAAGAGGATGTGGATTGTTTGTTAACAATACCAATCACTGGATTGCCTGGTCATATAGCTGCAACATTGCTGAATGCTAACTACAATGAATCAAAGGCTGAATTGATGGAAGATCTGACCTATTTCGTAAGATTGTCACAGTAAAGACTTACGTAAACAGTGTTATGTCATTTTTGTACCATTGATGTGATGTGGAGTGAGTTTGGTTTAACACTGCTTTTAACAGTATTCCAGTTATATCACGGCGTGTCAGCTAAATGTGGGAGGAAAGCCTGAAGTGATGCAGGTCTTTACTGTTTAACACTTCGGTGAAACCCACGAACCGGGATTCGAACTTAATTATAGGTTTCTGGCATGCCAAAGGATGCAACTCTACACAGCGAATCACGGAAATTATTGTTGGGACTCATACACGATCTAAAAACACAATCTAAAAACACAATAAATAAAATAAAATGCGTTCACCGTCGACAGAGTGAGAATGACTTTCTGCTGCTTTTTCAATATTCCAGGAATAGCAGAGCAGTGCTCAGAATTGGGCTACATACATTGACATCGGCTTCTATAATAACACAAAAATAATTTTGTCCAATTCTGTACTTGTAATGCAACAAAAATAACATTGAAAAACAACCCTTAAACCTTACCAATATTCATTTATTTGATATGTGAATAAATTAATATATTATACTGACTTTATGTGGTCTGTTGACATCCTGATATACAATGAGATAAAATTCTTGGATTGAAAAGGTAATTGTCTCAAACTCCTGCTTTATGCTGCTGTCTGCCAGTGATACCCTCAAAAAGACATTTGATTTTACCAGAATTAACTGATCATAATAGATATATATGAGTTGACCATACCAGACAAAAATAAATTTTGACGCTTGGCCAAGTCACAGATTGTTGAAAATGGGGGTTGAGGAATGTTGACATTTTGAATCAATCAGTTCCTAGTAATCATACTTTGAGTCAACACTAAGGCTGATGTGATCATTGCAATCTGGTTGGTTAGCTGGGTGTAAAACTAATTGTGGTGAGGTAGAGGTTCAGTATTGTATAATTATTTTCAGTTCACTTGAGTTCACTACTAGTCAAATGTAGTCATTCAATGTTTGAACGTAGCCGGAAACAAATTATAACTTTACTATTTATAATGTTTAGTGTGATGGTCACTTTCCATGGCATATCAAATTTTGGTATCTGAGGTTAAGTAATACTTTCCTTTTGTTGATGAGATTTTAAAAGAAATGTTCCATCATATTTTATGAATGCTTCAACCATTATTGGAAATGAAGAGTTCTTTTTCAACTAAGGTACAGTATATTTTGGGGGTGTGGGAGATATGTACATTAAGTTCATAAATATACATTCAGGAGTCTGTTCCAGTATATACAGGGATAATTTTAGGGTGGGGGCCTAGAGCTAAAAGCTCGTAAATCTGAAAACAAACCCTACATTTGTACCTCTGGAATAATTGAAACCTTGGACATGTATTGTGTAATTTGGCCCTTTGCTTATAATGAGTGAAAGTCCTGTGTGAAGTTCTATTTTATGTAAGATTCAACAGTCGTAAACTAAGTTCTGAACAAAAGAAGTATTTATATCTTTGGATTTTATATGAAAAGATATAATCTATGAGTTTTTAAGTTTAGGGAAGATTTTGCAGTATGAAACTATTAAAGGGATGGGTCTTAACTTTATTTTGGGGGGGGGGGGGGGGGGATATTTATTAAGAGGGGGGGTAATTATTTTATCCCTCTTTTTTTTCTGTTTCAGAGATGCCACCGAAGAAGATGCTGCAACAGATGGAGGGGTATCACCTCCCTAAAAATGATACCGAGGAAGCAGGCCTCGTTAATAAATGTGCAACAGAACAAAACCCGAACAAAACATGCGCTGAAAGCTCATACAATAGTGCTACACAAAATTGCCTTACACAAAATGCTACATATGATGCCGATGCCTCAAATGCCAATGACTCAAATGCCAATGCCTCAAATGCCAATGCCAATGCCTCCTATCCCAATGCCTCCTATCCCAATGCCTCCAATGCCAATGCCTCAAATGCCAATGCCAATGCCTCAAATGCCAATGCCTCCTATCCCAATGCCTCCAATGCCAATGCCTCATATGCCAATGCCAATGCCTCATATGCCAATGCCTTAAATGCCAATGCCTCATATGCCAATGCCTCATATGCCAATGCGTCAAATGCCAATGCCTCATATGCCAATGCCTCGTATGCCAATGCCTCGTATGCCAATGCCTCGTATGCCAATGCCTCGTATGCCAATGCCTTAAATGCCAATGCCTCAAATGCCAATGCTCAAAAAGATCAAAATGCTCAAAAAGACCCATATGCCAATGAGAACAATGTCAGTGATAACAATGATCCTGAAAGCTATGACCCTGATACTGACATCAATGATCCAGAGAGTTATGATCAAGATTTTGTTACCAATGACCATCATACTGATACAAATGAGACTGTACATGGTTCTTTCAATCAAGGTCACACTAGATTTGGAAAAAACAGTGGCAGACAGTGTGTAGCTAACAGTGCAATGGCAATGATGTACAATCAAATTAAGGACATTTCCACATGGGACAGCTATGATCTTGACACAGTTCTTTGTAGAGGAAACAAACTTTATGAAGATTCTATAAACCAGAGACAATCAACTAGTCGTAGTGCATACCTTCTTGTGTCAGATATTTGTCCAACAGTAGACTTCTTTGGCAAAGAATATAGATTTGTGTCTGGCGATTCTCTGAGTGGCTTTGTGATGAAAGATACTGAAGAAATTGTTGATATTCCACAACAAATGTGTCTCGATGCTGCACTTCAAACAATATTTTCACAACATGATGCTACTTTTATGACATTTGGAGGATCAACATTTGCTGTGATAGAAAGAAATAACAAATACCACGTGTTTGATTCCCATTCTCGGAACACTGAAGGATTACAAGTCACTAATGGCACTAGCATACTTATCCAATACACAAGTCTGCTTCAGGTCTATGAACACTGTTTCAATCTTGCTCGGTCAATGAACTTAAATGCAAATTCACAATTTGAAATGACAGGTATGAGAATTACCACTGGTGTAGAGCCACATGACAACCGGTCTGACAATGCGAGTGATACCAATGACAATGATGATGTAGTGCATATTGATGAACTCGAAGAGAACTCACAGGATGTAGAGCCACATGACAACCGGTCTGACAATGCGAGTGATACCAATGACAATGATGATGTAGTGCATATTGATGAACTCGAAGAGAACTCACAGGATGTAGAGCCACATGACAACCGGTCTGACAATGCGAGTGATACAAATGAGAATGATGAAGTAGTGCATATTGATGAACTCGAAGACAACTCACAGGATGTAGAGCCACATGACAATCAGTCTGACAGTGCGAGTGATACCAATGAGAATGATGATGTAGTACATATTGATGAACTCGAAGACAACTCACAGGATGGTAGTGTGGAAATGATTGATATTGACACAAATGTGACTGTACATGGTTCTTTCAATCAAGGTCACACTAGATTTGGAAAAAACAGTGGCAGACAGTGTGTAGCTAACAGTGCAATGGCAATGATGTACAATCAAATTAAGGACATTTCCACATGGGACAGCTATGATCTTGACACAGTTCTTTGTAGAGGAAACAAACTTTATGAAGATTCTATAAACCAGAGACAATCAACTAGTCGTAGTGCATACCTTCTTGTGTCCGATATTTGTCCAACAGTAGACTTCTTTGGCAAAGAATATAGATTTCTGTCTGGCGATTCTCTGATTGGCTTTGTGATGAAAGATACTGAAGAAATTGTTGATATTCCACAACAAATGTGTCTCGATGCTGCACTTCAAACAATATTTTCACAACATGATGCTACTTTTGTGACATTTGGAGGATCAACATTTGCTGTGATAGAAAGAAATAACAAATACTACGTGTTTGATTCCCATTCCCGGAACACTGAAGGATTACAAGTCACTAATGGCACTAGCATACTTATCCAATACACAAGTCTGCTTCAGGTCTATGAACACTGTTTGAATCTTGCTCGGTCAATGAACTTAAATGCAAATTCACAATTTGAAATGACAGGCATGAAAATTAGCACTGATATACAGCCACATGACAATCAGTCTGACAATGCAAGTGATACCAATGACAATGATGATGTAGTGCATATTGATGAGGATGGTACAGTAGATATGATTGAGATTGACCAAAGTGATGATACGGCATGTCAAACAAATGAGAATGATCAAGATGATATGATGCACTTTGATGAATGTGACGACAACTCACAAGATGGTAGTGTGAAAGAAACTGGGACTGACCAACATGCAATGCTATTCTGCCCTGTATCATCAAATGTATGTGAACAGTTGTGCAATAAGCTTGATATTCAACACCAATGTGTAGCAAAGTCTCAAGATCATGAGTTTGGTGTAGAAATTGATGTACCATGCAGAACAGTATCCATTGAAGGTGATGGCAATTGCTTTTTTAGAAGTCTTTCATATGCAATCTCGGGCAAAGAAAACAACCACAGGAAAATCAGACTGGCTGTTGTGACACACCTAAAAGCACATGCTGAAAGTTTCCATCACTTCTTAAGACCAGGTTACGAGTCAGTTGAACAATACATTTCTCAATCCAGAATGTGGTATGTTGGAACATGGGCTACAGAACTTGAAATACTTGCAGCTGCAAATCTACTGGGCACTGACATATGCACATACTCTGATAACAGATGGCTGAGATATTCAAGCAGGCAGTTAAACTCAGACACAGTGAACACAGGAACAGGCATATATCTAAATCATGTTGGTGGATCACATTATGAAGTGGTTGTTTGTGTGAACACAGTAGATGCTTTGAGAAACTCATGTACAGACAAATATTGTCAGAGACATATGAATCTCAAGAGAAATGTTGACCAGCGATGTGTAGATTTGCTGAATGACAGACAGTCAGTCTTGAAAAAACAAAAATGTACTGATTCTAAAGAAAAGACACCTGATCACAGACAAACTAAAAAACCAAAAGGAAAGTATGCACAGGCAAAAGCTAAAAGAGAATATATGAGGGCCAAAAGAAAATTAGAGAAAGATAATTCTGAAACATTGAATTTGAATGTGAAACAGAGAAGACTTGCAAAAGAGAATGAAAAGTACAACACTGACCCTGATTTCAAGAACAGAAAGAAACTGCAAAGTTCAAATAAATACAAAGATGATGAAGCACACAGGGAATTTGTCAAAATGTACAGTACTAACAAATATGCCACAGTCTATGAACACAGGGAAACAGTAAAAGCTTACAGCAGTGAGAAATATGCCACAGATTCAAAACACAGGGAAGATGTTAAAACTCACAGCAGTCAGAAATATGCCACAGATTCAAAACACAGGGAAGATGTTAAAACTCACAGCAGTCAGAAATATGCCACAGATTCAAAACACAGGGAAGATGTTAAAACGTACAGCAGTCAGCAATATGCTAAAGATGCAAAGCACAAGGAAGCTCTAAAATATCAAAGTACTGAGAAATATGCTAAAGATGCAAAGCACAGGGAAAATGTAAAAACCAACAGTATTGAGAAATATGCAAATGACACAAAACACAGAGAATCTGTTAAATCAGCAAGCATTGCCAAGTACAAAACTAACGCTGAACACAGAGCTAATTTGAAAGAGAGACAATCTGCCAGGGTTATGCAATTCAAAAAAGAAAGGAAAATAATGGAAAATGTTACACAATCCTTTGCCAAAAACATATCTGAAGGTCCAGAATTTGTGTGCTCGGTGTGCCATCGAAGACTTTTCAAAAAACAAGTTGTACAATGTAAAAGAACAGTATATGAAAACAAAGGAAGTACTATTGCCACTGTTGCTGAGAGATGCATCACAGAAAATTACCTACACAGGTGCTCAGACAGTTGTGATGACCAATGTTCATTTGTCAATAGTCCTGAAGGCACATTATGGATTTGCTATACCTGTCATAGGAAACTTTTGTCTGGTAAAATGCCTGGAGAAGCTGTTGTTAACAACCTTGAACTGACCCCTGTTCCTATGCAACTTCAATGTCTCAATGAACTAGAGCAGCACTTGATTGCCTTGAATATCCCTTTCATGAAAATGATGGCATTACCAAAAGGTGGACAACATGGCGTACACGGACCTGTAGTATGTGTTCCTTCTAACATTCAAAAAAGCACCAGTTTCTTACCAAGAAGTGATGTAGATGATCAGATGATTAGAGTGAAACTGAAAAGGAAGATTACTTACAAAGGCCATTATCAATATCAGTTTGTCAACAAGGCTCATGTTAAAAATGCTTTGGAATATCTTCAAACAACTAACAAATGGTACAGGGATGTGAATTTTAATACAGAATGGGTCAATCCCTTGCCAGTTATTGATGAGGAAGATGAAATTATTGATTCTGATACTGAAACATTACCCGAGGTTGAAAAGGATAGCTCAAACACACCAACTAATGAAAATGAAGAGTCTGAGAAAGATCATGGATTACTCATGAATACATGTCTACAACCACTTGATATTGGCCAAGAAGTTATGGATCAACATTTTGATAAGATAACCTGTGTTGCACCTGCTGAGGAAAATAATCCTGTTCGACTACTGACAGACAAAAGCAATGAAGCAAGGTCATTTCCTGTACTGTTTCCATCAGGGTCCCCTACATTCCATGATGATCGTGAAGAGAGAATTACACTTGCACGTTATCTACATACACGCCTCATGAATGCTGATAGTAGATTTGCTCGAAACACTGACTACATATTTTATGCACAGTATCTTTCTGAAATTGATCAAGTTATGTCAAATGTTTCCATTGCAATGCGAAAGGGATCACAGTCACATGGTAAAAATGTTTCATCTGAAAATCTTACAGATTCTGATTCTCTGAGAGAGATATTAAAATGTGATGAAGGCTACAAGTTCTTGAAACCTATCAGAGGAACTCCACCATACTGGCAGTCTGCTCAGAAAGATTTATTTGCTATGATAAGACAACTAGGTATTCCAACTTGGTTTTGTTCTTTTTCATCAGCTGATATGAGATGGCCAGAAATGATTGAAACGATACTCAGAGAATCCGGTGATACACGCAAAGCCACTGAACTTGACTGGTCTGAAAAATGTTCTATACTAAGGAAAAATCCAGTGACAGCAGCCCGAATGTTTGACCAAAGATTCCATTGCTTCTTGAAAGAGGTTATCATGTCACCAGCTGAACCAATTGGAAAGATAAAAGATTACTTTTATCGTGTAGAATTCCAGCACCGTGGTTCCCCTCACACTCACTGTCTTTTCTGGGTTGAAAATGCTCCAAAGGTTGATGACGATAATGATGAGTCAGTAACATCTTTCGTTGATAAATATGTCACATGTGATATGCCTTCAGTTGAGAATGATGAAGAATTGTTTGATATTGTCAACAGTGTACAAAAACATAGTAAAAGACATTCAAAGTCATGCAAAAAAAATGGCACAACCTGCAGATTCAATTTTCCACGTCCTCCAAGCAATGAAACTTTCATATCACGAGCAGGAGGTCTTGACAATAAACCAAAAGATGTTGTGCCCAAAACCTTGAAACAGTGCTGTGAAGATCTTTTCAATATGAAATTTATGTCCATACCAGATGCTCAAAGAATTTTGAAACTGATTTGGCAAGGATTAACAAATGATGAGCAAACATTTGAGTCAGTTGATGCATTGTTCTCTGCCATTGGTATTTCGCAAGACATATTTCAACTAGCATGTGATACTCTATCCAAAAAGACAAATGTTGTGATGAAACGCAATCCCAATGATGTATGGGTCAATCAGTACAATGCAGATCTGCTCAGATGTTGGAATGCGAACATGGATATTCAGTACATAGTTGATGCCTACTCTTGTGTTGTCTACATCATTTCATATATCTCAAAGGCAGAAAGAGAAATGGGATTACTGTTGAATCATGCACAAACAGAAGCAAATAAGGATAACTCTGATGCAAAATCTGCTCTCAAGAAACTTGGTGCTGTATACCTACACAATAGAGAAGTGAGTGCTCAGGAAGCTGTCTTTCGAGTTTGCAATTTGAGATTGAAGGAAGGATCACGTAAAGTACAGTTCATTCCAACCGTAGACCCTGTCAGAATGAGTTTGCCTCTGAAAACCCTACAGAACAAACGAAAGAGTGGTGAACTAGATGAAGATGAAATGTGGATGACAAGCATTGTTGATCGATACAAGAGCAGACCCAAAGGTGACGAGTTTGATAACATGTGTCTTGCAACGTTTTGCTCAGAATACAGAGTGCTACCAAAATCTGAAGTATCAAATGTTTCTGATGACAAACGCCGTAGTCCATTAGTAACATTGCAAAATGGCCTTGGTCATGTGAAAAAACGTACTCGGACTGATGCAGCAGTTATCAGATATGCTAGATTTTCACGTACAAAGAATCCAGAAAAACACTATCACAGTATATTGCAGTTATTCTTGCCATACACGTTTGATGCACAATTAAAACCACCCGCATTCAATTCGTATGAAGAGTTCTATGAAACTGGTGCTGTTCAGATTGAGAACTGTCCTTTGGAAACTGTGAAAGAGATTGTTGACAGAAACAAAGCAATGTTTGAGAAAGATGGTGATGTTATTGATGAAGCAGAGGAATTGTTTGACAAAACAGGTCAATTGGAAGATGCTTGGGCTCAAATCTGTCCAGAAACTGAATCTGAAAGAATAGCATGTGAAGGTGAACACACTTGTACGACCGATGAGGAAAGTGAAAGTGAAACTGCTATGAACATGCCTGATTTGCTACTGAAGGATAACACATTATCAAAAACAGAGGTACTTCAGAGTACAATGTCAAGACAAAAAGCAGAAACTATTCTGAGATCAATGAATGAGGAACAAGCTGAGGTTTTCTATAAAATAAGACAATGGTGTTTGGATAAAAGGAACGGCAAAAATCCTGATGCATTTAATCTATTTCTGACTGGTGGAGCTGGTACTGGAAAGAGCCATTTGATCAAGGCAATTTGCTATGAATGCACTAGACTGCTAGCCCCAATGCAAAATAATCCAGATGATAACTGTGTACTTTTGGTAGCTCCAACCGGAATTGCAGCATTTAACATACATGCTTCCACGATACACAGTGCACTCTCAATTGGAATTGATGCAAAACTGCCATACCAGCCACTTGGTGAGGAAAAGATCAATAGTCTGCGAGCAAAGCTGCAAGGTATCCATATACTAATCATCGATGAAATATCAATGGTTGATCACAAGCTGTTATCATACATTCATGGTAGATTGAGACAGATCAAACAAACTGCTGATTATTCACCATTTGGAAATGTATCTGTAATTGCTGTTGGAGACTTTTATCAGTTATCACCTGTTAAAGGAACACCATTGCATGTTGCCAAAAATGGATATGACCTGTGGAATGATAATTTTTCTATCGCAGAATTGACAGAGATCATGAGACAAAAGGACCCTGCATTTGCACAACTTCTGAATCGGTTACGAACACGAAAAAAGTCAGACCCTCTAGAAACAAGAGATATACATATGCTCAAACAACAAGAAACTGGTGAAGATGATCCAGAAAGCATTCACATTTTTGCAACAAATGCTCAGGTTGATGAATACAATATTGCTGCTCTTCATTCTAAATGCTCAGATCCAATTTGTATTGATGCTCAAGATTTCTCACGAAATGCAAAAACAGGGAAACTTGAAAAGAGAGAAATACCTCATGGAAAAGTTCATAACTCAGTCTTACAAAAAAGTCTCAATGTTGCAATTGGTGCGCGTGTGATGATCACAAAGAATATTGATACATCAGATGGTCTTGTGAATGGAGTCTTTGGAACTATAAGCCACATATCTTTGACTGATGGTGAAACATTTCCTTCAAAAATACATATCGTGTTTGACAAAATTGATGTTGGTCAGAAATTACGAAGAATGGAAGGCACTGCATCTGAATTAGATCCTAACAGTACTCCTATTAAGCCACAAGAAGAAACTGTTTCAAACAATGGAAGCATTAGACGACAATTTCCACTCAAACTAGCCTGGGCTTGCACCATACACAAAGTACAAGGGATAACTGTTAACAAAGCTGTTGTTTCATTACACAAGGTATTTGCTGCAGGACAAGCTTATGTAGCACTAAGTCGAGTATCTTCTCTTGATGGTCTTATCATTCAGAATTTCAAAGAATCAGTGATATACAGCAGTGCAAAGGTTGAAGCAGCAGTGTCTAGTATGCCTAAGTTCCTGACAAGAAATCAGAGAATCAATGATGGTCATCCAACATGCAAGCTGATTATGCAAAACATTGAGGGCCTTCAATCACACTTTAAAGATCTGCAGAATGACAAGAGGTTTTGTGAGGCTGATTTCATTTGCTTGACAGAAACATGGTTATCTGATTCACATCCAGCTGATGAAACAAAACTTGATGGATTTACGTTACATCATAAATCCAGATCACAGTGTTATGAATCATCTGAACCAATACTGATGGAATTGAAAAATCAAAGACATGGTGGTGTTGGAGTTTATTCTAGTGAAGTCAAAGCATGTGAATTTACTCAGTTACCAGTATCTAATTTGGAGTATCTGTGCATGTACGTCATGGAACTACAAGCTCATGTTGTTGTTATCTACAGGCCAAATTCATACACAGTTGATATTTTCAGAAAGCATATGCTAAAACTTGTTCAAGAACTTGATAAACATTCTGGTCGATCCATTATCATGGGTGATTTTAATGAAAATATCTTGTCATCATCTTCAATACAAACTATGATGGAATCAAATGGTTTTACACAGATAGTTTCAGAGCCTACTACTGAAGGTGGAACGCTTCTTGACCATGTATATGTGAAAGGACTTGAGAATGTATCTGTTCAGATTCTTCCTACATACTTTGGGTATCATGAAGCTATTGAAATCAAATTATGAATATAGCTGTGAAAATAACAGTGATGAAAAACAATCTCTACCATGTCATCATTTGAAAAGTGCCTATTTTATCAAATTTGTAAATCTCGTTTCAACAAAAGACACTGGCATGGTATTGCACCTATCTGACTTTAAGCATGAATTGTACAAACCCCTGAAGAAGGGACTACCGGGATCAGGTGGTCAGAATCCAATGGTTGATGCATGTCATCGTTTCACAATTGGGTGGATGAAGGCTCATGATGTCAATCACTGGATTGTCTGGTCCAGACTTGGTTATTTATAGACTGCCATCATATAGCTGAAACATTGCTGAGTGCTGCGTTAAACAATAAACAAACAAATGAATTTTTCTTGAATTTTTCTTGTATTATCATAATTAGACCTGTATTGATCTTTGTGACTCTTATTGCGAAAGCATCTTCTACAAAATATGAATGGGCTCTACTTGTATTATCATGAATATGGACCTGAGGCCAACTTCTTATTTTACAAAGAATATAATTGTTGAAAATTACATTGATTCTACTTGATGAAATGGCCTGTTATTGCACCTATCAGACTTTTATTGTGAAAGCAGCAACTTTCACAAAATGCGCATGAATTGTACAAACCCCTGAAGAAGGGACTACCGGGATCGGGTGGTCAGGCTCGCCAATGGTTGATGCATGTCATCGTTTCACAATTGGGTGGATGAAGGCTCATGATGTCAATCACTGGATTGTCTGGTCAAGACTTGGTTATTTATAGACTGCCATCATATAGCTGAAACATTGCTGAGTGCTGCATTAAACAATAAACAAACAAATGAATTGTACTTGTATTATCATAATTAGACCTGTATTGATCTTTGTGACTCTCATTGTGAAAGCATCTTGTACAAAATATGAATGGGCTCTACTTGTATTATCATGAGTGTGGACCTGAGGCAAACTTCTTATTTTACGAGGAATATAATTATAAATGTTGAAAATTACATTGATTGTACTTGATGAAATGGTCTGTTATTGCACCTATCTGACTTTTATTGATTGAAAAGTCACTGATATTTTTAATTTAGTTTATGCCAAGCTATTGCATATGCTCAATTATCTTGTGTATAATTTCATATGTACATGAAGTGCACTGTACATGTTATGTATATATATTGAAAAAATATAAACATGTATCTGAAAAGTGCTAATTTAAATCAATTTGTAAATCTTGTTAAATGGAAGACACTGACATTTTCTTATCATCTGTATTTATAAATTATGACTTTTGTTGCAAAAGCAGTTTCTACAAAATATGAAAGACTTGTACTTTATTATCATGATTATAGACCTTAGTCCAACATACAAAATACCAAATTGTTATTTTGTTGAAAATGTAATACTATTGAGTTTACTCGATGTGTGAGTGTGTGTGTTTTGTATACTGTTAATATATATTTCTTATTATGTGTATATGTTATTTCTATGTATAGATTTTAGCATGTATATACTTTAGCTGACCTAAAAGAAATGAAATTCATGTCAGCATTTAGTTCATGCCAAGCTATTTCATATGCTCAATTATTTGTGTATAATTTCATATGTACATGAGATGCACTGTACATATTATGTATATATATTGAAGAAATATAAACATGTACATCTGAAAAGTGCTAATTTAAATCAATTTGTAAATCTTGTTAAATGAAAGACTTGACATATATGTAAATACTACTAGATGTGTGTGTGTGTGTGTGTGTGTGTGTGTGTGTGTGTGTGTGTGTGAGTGTGAGTGTGTGTGTGTTTTGTATACTGTTAATATATATTTATTTCGTCTGTGTATATGTTATTAGATGTATAGATTTTAGCATGCATCTACATACTTTAGCTGATCTAAAAGAAAAGAAATTCATGTCAGCTTATGGCACTTTCTTATATATTCTATGTACTTCATGTCACACATTCTAATATGATAAAAATCAAGACAGATTCATTGCCATAGGTTTGTTTGAATATGTGTAGAATGAAATAACACTTACAGTTTAAAGTTACTGATCAAACTGATGGAGAAGTGGTATTTTCCATAATGGTATAGACAAATATTTCATTGCATAATCATGGCCCTTGGTTGTTCATTGGGGACTGACCATTTATTATTCCCTTTGTGCATCGTGTACCTGTACACAAGGGATGTCACAATTCACTGATGTATCTATATGTATAAACCTGATGATAGGACACACAATAATCTACCAATGTATCAATTCATGTTTTAACTGTATCCAATGTTCAAGAAGTAGTATTTACATTTGCAACAACCTGATATAAGTTGTACTCTGGAAAGAAAGGATGCACTCATGTATTCAGGAACAAGTGGTTTCGTAATTATTTGACAGTAAATCATAAACAGATGCTTCTGATATGGTGAGAAACACAAATTAGACCCTACTTTTAGTGGAGATTTCTTATGAAACTGGAATTGATTTTGTCGTGGTTATTTCACACCTCAGGGCCCCTCCACATTGTATTTTCGACGGTGGAGTGGGTCCCATTAAGGGGTGTTGAAGCTATTTTCAAGTCTGAAACACCTCAGGGTCACTCCACATTGTATTTTCGACGGTGGAGTGAATCCCATAAAGGGGTGTTGATGACGATGAAATTAGCACATGTGCTTTACTACAACCTGGTATGTATGTAAAGAAAAGGGACAAAACATTCCATAAACTTCACTAAAAGCAGTGTTCATTTAATGTTTCTGAGTATACCATAAGCATGTGTTCATGAATCACCATCAAATAGTGATGATATCAGGTGTTTGTGAAAAGGTGATTAATTTTTATAGCCGGAGCAGTTATCAGGCCAGCATGTTGCAAAATGTAAATACCATCCTTGTGAATTTTGTATGCAGAATTAAAACATGAATCGATACACCCATGGGTTATTGTGTATTCTAATAACAGGTGTAAACATATACATAGATACAGACACATGACATCAAAATGTAAATTGTGACATCCCTTGTGTGGTGTGATCTTGTAAGTATTATTGCTGTATTGATTTATTCTTACATGCAAAATGATGAAATGTGACAATTGTCTATTTCAATGTACAACTTGACAATTATTATGTTTGTCTAATGCTGTTCATAGCAATGTTTCTCTGCTCTATGATGTCTATGCAGAGCAAGTATCATGCTAGTATTTAAATGAAGACCAGGATTTGATCTATGAACATTAATACTCAGTTGTATTATTCTACAAACATGTGGATGTGGAAAAACATCACTGATTTTATCACATGCATTGCCACCTGATTGATCTAGTACGAAACTAGCTAGTTTTAAACCTAGGGATAATCTTACAAATCACCACAGTATACCCAAGGGTACAATTTCAGTATGGTTCTTTTACCACCTACCTAGGTTCGAACATGGGGTAATCATTGTGCAAATGTCAATATGACTTCTGCATATGAGTGTACAAATGTGTTCCTGTAGTCCTATCTTGATCATGACAGTTTGTATCTGCAATGCTTTATGATATGTTCAATCTTTTGATATTATATTTCTTTCATGCTTTGCTCTCGAGAACACAATACACTTGATATATTATAAAGGTCATGTCAATTTTATACAGATCACCCTTATTTATCTGGAATATAACTGAGTGTGTACATGATGTGTTGATGATAACATGAACTGCATGTCATTTTGTTGAAACCATTACTTTTGCTTGTTGATTTCCCATGAAATGTAATAAAACTTATGAGCATAATGAATCAGATTAGTTTGTTTTAATTCTGGATTAATTGGATGATACTGTATTGCTCTTATCCTGAACCAGCACTACATGGCGATGTATCGGATCATCAACATTATAAAAGGTCCTTAGGTCTTTGAAATATGTGATGAATTTTTAATCAATCACTGTGTAGAAAACATATTTCTTCTTCCCCTTTTAGTTAAATTAATCAAGATGTCTAATGTTACATATCCATGCTACAGGTATGAAAAGGCTACAACCAGGGGCTTTTTTAAAATTACTTCCTAAAAGACTAACACACACTACTTACACATACACGCTCTACATGTACTAATGTAACCGTGCTTGTGTTGGCCGATAGTGGAGTAGGTGTCCTACTGGCCAAATAATCACAAACAGCTGTGGAGGGTGAGGCTGATGACGTTTATTTTATTATAGGTGCGAATGTACGCACTTAATTTCAGTCTGAAACAATAAAAGTACAACATAAGCAAATATAACATAGAATAAATATATACAATCCGTTATACATGTAGTTACTCTTTAAATTTCTAAAATATATATATATATATATATATATTACTTCCATTAAAATGAATAGCATTTACTTTACATTACACAATACATCAGACGTATCCGTACAATACATCAATACACAGATACAAAATATATAAATATGATATAGAGTCATAACGAACATTACATACCAGATAGGTGATACCTGAACTGGTAATACCGTGACAATGATCGAACGGTGAACGTTGCTACTGAGAAATTTGCATAATAAAGAAATACAAATGCAGAATACTATATACAAGTGATATCCTATGGTAAAATAGTGTATAAAAATATATAGTACAACAGCCACTCATATCAGACATACAACACTCATACATTCGCACTTACCAACATAAATCAAGCATACAGACATACATTTACTTTCCATTACTGTCCAGAGGGGTTTATATTACTTAGTTTATATATATATTTAGGTTTTGTGTTTAATACTGTTTTATACAGATAATAATTACTCACTGAACTGTAAGTTCATCAAGCACTATAAATATATACAAGATGCATTATGTTTCTAATAAATCAAATAAAGAATGCATTCTACAATATATATTATTTCTAATCACAATAATTAGAAAACATCCATATATACAACATCATAAAATAAATAACCAACTAACCTTAAATATGAATAAATCCTTTCACAAATCCAAATCCTCACATGATAAGAAATCGGCAATAAATCTCGCTGAGTCTATGGTGTTTCCTTGAGGTAACAAATAGCAACTGATCTTCTAAAATTCAACAATAAACATTGCTGTAGCTATGGCCAGCTTGGCCTATCAACAAGACAATAGACTGGGCCGGGGTGCGCTGGGGCAAAGAGTGCTGTAAGTCAAAAGCATGCAGTTTGACAATTAGTGGAAGTTAGACTGAGGGTAAGCTTACTTAATGTTACAGAGCTATGGAATGAATGTTTAAGATATAAAATACTAAGGAATAAAACATAACTAATATTATAACTAATAATATATTCTTATAATATAGATATCGTAATAAACTAATCAGTTAAAATGGTAACAAGGCCATATAGCCTTACTACTTACTAATAAATCTTACTTAAAAGTATGTACATAAATGAGCCTGCCACACTAAGTTAACCTATATATTTGTTGGGAAATTCTGGTTATGTTTTTCAATCATGAGCTTACTCAATAATAACATTCTATTTTCAGTACTATATCAATTTGCTTGAAACATAAACAATATTAATCTCCCTGGGGTTATACCTTAGAATAATGATAATACGTTCATGTCAAGAATGCAAGTAATATACAACCAAGATGAATGCAATTCTTTCAAAACATTGATTTTGACGTATTTAAATCAAATACAGTGATATGAACTATTTGGATGTGTTAGCTTTAATGAAAGCAATACTCCGTGATGTTGGGCCTATGTGGCTGCCATCAGTAAGTACATTCAACAATCATAGTCTCTACACAAACAATAATATCGAAATACCACGAAAATAGGTGACAGAACGAAATTGCCCGCATAATATACATACTACTGGTTGAGTTATCACAGAAAACAGTTAGAAATATCAGAGCACATCAATTTTAGGACCCAGATACTATACCTGTACTGAAGAAACCTACCTTTCGAAGTTGTTTCGTTAGTTCAAAACACATTTACACGTCTTCGTAGGGCTTCACAGTCTTGAACAGACCGCTTGCCGGCCTGAAGCTCCTTACAGCGATAGTTTGCGCGCTGAGCTCTGCATTCAATAATGAAGAATGTGGCATACGCTGGGATGGAGCTTGGGCAGAAGCCGGCTAAGGGACGTAACTCCGCTAATAGCAAGCGCTGCGTACCACTGTTTGACAACGGCGCATTGTTATAGTCAGTTTCAGTAGATCTTTCCCACTAGCAGTCTGCAGGATGCTGTAACATTATAGTCCGTTTCTACCGGCGATCTCTACAAGCATTTGTTTCAACATATGTCGAGTCGACATGGTAACGTGATGGTGCGATCTATAGTCCGTTTCAATGGATGTTTCGCAGGAATTCTCTTCTGGGGACAGCTGACCTCTCTTTGATTTGCGATAAGGATGAGACAGTGTCACAGTGAAGCCATAGCCCCCAACCTAGGACACGGCCGAGATTATCACCTTCATCATTCCAATGCAGACCATATTTTCTTGAGATTAATATTTGTTTTTGTTTCTGGTGTGTTTATGACTTAACTATGGACATCTATATATACTCTCTTATAAATTGCACTTAGATAAAATACCTGTCATAATTGTGATACCGCATCTATGAGTGTAAAGAACCGTTTGAATATCACTTTATATTTCAACAGCAGACGTCAACACGCCGATGCTGTCTCATAGTCCGTTTCAGTAGACGTATCCTAATAGCAGGCTGGATTATGCTCTCACATTATAGTCCGTTTCTGCCGGCGTTATCTACATAGGAATTGTTTCAACAGTTGCCGAGTGGATATTTGGTTGACAATGTAGGACATATGGAAACCATACATGGAATTTGTTGATGCATTACAACGTTGATTTGTATATGTAAACACTAAAATGTAATAAGTCTGACCGTTAATGGATTATCTGCTGAGCAAAAGAGGTTGTAATACATGAATTATGTATCAATTCTCTCTCCGTCGTCTTATAGGCTAAGTGACTACAATTACGCATGTTAACAGCCACCGCCACTCTTCAAATACACACGACATTTGGCCGAAATCGGACCAGTAGTTCCCGAGTTACAGGTGTTTAGAGTTCTGCTGTTTGGGAAGTTTGTGTTATATAATACCACTGGTCTATCGACAATAATGTAGCGTACAGCGCAAAGAGGACACAGTATTGCTGGCGATTGAAGTGCAGTGAACGGGACTTATTTGTCATTCTATGGCTGCTTCTTTCAGTGTCTTTTACTTTAAAAAATGTTTGAAGCGTTCGTAAAGCACCCATGTCATCCCCTCTAAATGACATTTCCAGAACATGTGAAAAAAGAGTTTGATGTATGTAGGATTTGTGATTTGTGACTGCATTTTAATATCGAATTGCACATGTAAATACTAAAGATTGCCTAGTCAGCCAGTTATAGAATGATCTGGTTAGGAGCAAGATGCTGAAAGATGTTGTTATACATAAATTATGCATCATTTCTCTCCCCGTCGTCTTATTTCCTATGTCGCTACAATTGGTCGTGATAGCAGACATCCCCACTCAATATACATATACAAAATCTGGTCGAAATCGGACGAGTAGTTTCGGAGTTACGGGTATTTAGAGTTCATCTACGGGTATTTAGAGTTGTGCTATTTGGCAAGTTTGAAGTTTATGGACCTGGGCCAAAGAGTGCCGTTTTCAAAAAGCTGTAGCTCCGTTGTCCATGGAGCTACAGACAAACGGTTTGGTGTTCTGGAATCGCCAGGAAAAGGGCTATCAGGGAAATATATCACATTTGACATAAATACATGTTTTCATTGAATTTGTTAGTATGGTACTTGGAGCCAAAGTCTGGAGAGTTTGGAAGCTTTTGAGCTGTTAGTTTGAGCTGAGGAGATTTTGGGAGTCAAGTACTGAGAAATCTGCTAAAAAACAGTGCAAAAACTCTTAATCCGATATGGAGGCCAAGCGAAGCAATTTCGCTACATTAGATGTGTAGAGATTTTGTTTGGCATCTGATTCTGGATCTGTTCAAGAATTTTGGAAGTCTTTGGAGCTTTCGTGGCGGAGATTTTAGCTGTTGAAATTGCGATTTTTAAAGTTGTTTTGAGTTATCTGCCCTTAGATCTTGAGTCTAGAGTCTTGAGATTTTTGTGGTATCTGCTTCAGGATCTAAGGTATCTTTGTGGAAATTTTGAAGACATTCTGAGCAGTAGTTTTGGAGTTAGGATTGGAACAAAAAACGCCGGAATAATAATAATAATAATAAATAATAATAAATCGAACAATTACAATAGGGCTCTTGCCTTGTAGGCAGGGAGCCCTAATAAGAAATTCTTATTTTTGCGATTTTGGCACTTTTGAACCCGGGATCGGGTAGCTGGACTAAAACCATTTAAAAAAATTCAAGGTCACCAAGGTCACGGGGTCAAGGTCATTTAGGTGGTCCGTTAAACGAAAATGTACTTTTTTTGGCGAGCTCTCACGCGACTGTTATTGCATCTATGGTGGAAGTGGTTGGTAATTATGCATTACCCCGACCAGTTGTAGCATATGTATAGGTAAATTTTGATGATATGCATGTCCGCCGTCCGTCCGCGCGTCTGTCCACCTAAACTCTGTTTTGTCATTTTCTCACGAACTATCTAACTTACAAAGCTGAAACTTTGCAGACATCTTCCCATGGTCTGTATCTAATAGTGCTGTGAATATCAATGCATTCCGTTGTCAAGTTTGGTTTCCATGGCAACCTGACGACAAAAACCTTAAATCCAAGATGGCGGCCAAACGGCTGGAAATATCCATTTTTAGGCCTGGATCGAAAATGATCGGTATCTTATGACGGTGTCACATGCAAAATATGGTAGCTATTGGAGCAATTTTGGCGGAGATATATGCTGTTTTCTGCCGTTTTTATCACTTTTGGCATTTTCACGGTCTTTAATCCAATATGGACGCTAAATGACGCAACTTTTGACAAACAGCTAAGAACAGGAAATGTTCAGCGTCTGATGCTGGTGCATTGTGGTAATTTGTAGCACTTTCTATCAAGAAATTTAGCAGCTACGTAGTTTGCAAAGTAAAAATATGAGAGGCTAGCAAAATCCAATATGGCCGCCACATCACGTGACTTTTGACATAAGAGCAAGAAGAGATCTTGTTCAGCAACCAAAGCAAGACTCAACAGAAGTTCTTCAAATGCCTTACCTGATAAGTTTCCAATGCCAGAGCTTGCTAAAGATGTCCTATAAAAAGTTTGAAAATATCTTTCAGCCGGAAGTTGCAGTCAATATGGCGGCCATTGAAGACATATCTGAGGATTTTTTCATTGAATTTGTTAGTATGGTACTTGGAGCCAAAGTCTGGAGAGTTTGGAAGCTTTTGAGCTGTTAGTTTGAGCTGAGGAGATTTTGGGAGTCAAGTACTGAGAAATCTGCTAAAAAACAGTGCAAAAACTCTTAATCCGATATGGAGGCCAAGCGAAGCAATTTCGCTACATTAGATGTGTAGAGATTTTGTTTGGCATCTGATTCTGGATCTGTTCAAGAATTTTGGAAGTCTTTGGAGCTTTCGTGGCGGAGATTTTAGCTGTTGAAATTGCGATTTTTAAAGTTGTTTTGAGTTATCTGCCCTTAGATCTTGAGTCTAGAGTCTTGAGATTTTTGTGGTATCTGCTTCAGGATCTAAGGTATCTTTGTGGAAATTTTGAAGACATTCTGAGCAGTAGTTTTGGAGTTAGGATTGGAACAAAAAACGCCGGAATAATAATAATAATAATAAATAATAATAAATCGAACAATTACAATAGGGCTCTTGCCTTGTAGGCAGGGAGCCCTAATAAGAAATTCTTATTTTTGCGATTTTGGCACTTTTGAACCCGGGATCGGGTAGCTGGACTAAAACCATTTAAAAAAATTCAAGGTCACCAAGGTCACGGGGTCAAGGTCATTTAGGTGGTCCGTTAAACGAAAATGTACTTTTTTTGGCGAGCTCTCACGCGACTGTTATTGCATCTATGGTGGAAGTGGTTGGTAATTATGCATTACCCCGACCAGTTGTAGCATATGTATAGGTAAATTTTGATGATATGCATGTCCGCCGTCCGTCCGCGCGTCTGTCCACCTAAACTCTGTTTTGTCATTTTCTCACGAACTATCTAACTTACAAAGCTGAAACTTTGCAGACATCTTCCCATGGTCTGTATCTAATAGTGCTGTGAATATCAATGCATTCCGTTGTCAAGTTTGGTTTCCATGGCAACCTGACGACAAAAACCTTAAATCCAAGATGGCGGCCA